CACACAGGACAAAGTGGAAAAGACTCAGCAGCTCTGAACTGTGGTCCAGAAGAGTCCTCCCTGAAGCCTACACAGGATGAGGAAGCCTGTGAGGGGCTGAACTGTGAACCCCCCAAAAGATGAGCAAGTCCTAATCCCCAGTAAATGTGAATGTAAACTTATTTGGAAATAAGAGCTTTACAGATGATCAAGTTAAGATGAAGGCGGGCCCCTAAACCAATATGACTGGTGTCCTTTTTAAGAGGAAATTTGGAGAGACACACACACGGGGAGAACACCATGTGACGATGAAGGCAGAGACTGGGGTGACACATCTACAAGCCAAGGAATGTCAAAGATTGCCCACAAGGAGAGAGGCTTGGAACAGACCCTACCCCAGTACCTTCAGAGGGGGCATGGCCCTGCCAACACAACACCTTGATCTCAAAGACTTCTAGGCACCAGAACTGTGAGAGAATACATTTCTGTCATGTAAGCCACTCAGTCTGTGGTACTGTTACGGCAGCCCTAGCAAATGAATGAGTACCCTCCCCCCCTCCACTGTACCTATCTCCCCTTCCCATCATCCTGACCTCACTTATTGCATTTACTCAGTTAACTGTCTCCCCCATAAGACCCTGAGATCCACAAGCGCAAGGAACACACCTGCCTATTCACCACAATATCCCAAGCCCGCTCCTGGCACACTGGAGGCGGTCTGTAGTGTTAGTCAATTAACACGTGAAAGGTCGGCCCCTGGCTACTTCTGACATCTCTGGCAAGAGACTCCCCTTTCTGAGTGGCTATTTCTCCATCTGTCTATACAAAGGAAAACCAAATAAATGGACCAGATGATCTCTGTGAGCGCTTCCAACTCAAAAATCCAGGACTCACCCTGAAGGTGTATCCCATCCATCAAGGTCAGATCAGGACATCAGAAACTGCACTGGGGTGTTAAATAGAGAACACGTAACACAGGGAGTGGGTCACAGAGGTAGGGGACAGCTGGAAGACTGATGCTTTTCCTACTGGGATGTCTTCAGTGAGATGAAAGCAGGGTCGGCCTCATGCTTGGGGCTTCTGGAAATATCAATACATCCATTTCAGCATGGACTGGGCACTCCTATCCCCAAGGCAACAACCCCAGTGCACTGTTCTGCTTACAAAGCACAGCCCCAAAAGAGCCAGTCTCATGGCTGAGTGGCCTTGGGTGGGGGTGGGGGCAACAGGCTCACTAAGAAGTCCAGTGCCCTGACTAAGGGAAGAAACAGCAATGCATGTGCCTCTCCCAGCACCCACTTCCCTTCTAACGCCCGAGCCAGATTGCTGCCCTCCTCTGGTAAGAAGAGGTATTGCTGGTGAGAGAAAATGTGAATTCCAAGATGGCGCAGTAGGTAAACGCTGTGTTTACCTTCTCTCACAACCACATCAAAATTACAACTAAACTACGAAACAACCTTAATTAAGAATCGCCTAAAATTTTGCTGAACCGAAGCCCTACAACTAAGGATGTGCAGAAGAAGACACCTCAAGACTGGTAGAAAGGGCAGAGACGCTGAACGGGCTCGTCCCACACCCGCATGTGCCATTAAAGATCAGGAGGGATATTTTGGCTATGGAGGCCCCCACCCCCACCCCCCAGAGTAGCGAAAAGGTCCCAGCCCCACCCCAGCTCAGGGTTCCTGTGCCGGGGAGAGAAGTCCCCATAATTTCTGATTGTGAAAACCAGCGGAGATTGTGACTGAGACTGAGTGCAGCCGCACTCACAGGCGCTCCTCTTAAAAGGATTGAGCATGGACTTACCCACCAATGGAATCACTCGCTCTGAGCGCCAGCGCTGGGGCAGCAGCTGGAAAGGCAGCAGGGACATATCGTGGGGAACAGAGGTGTCTGGCTTGGGACGGAGGGCAGGAGAGGCGGCTTTCTCCTGAACGGCGGAGCTGGCAGAAGCCATTGTTTCTTTGCTGAGCCCTCTCCCTTCCCGGTGAGCAGACACAGGCAGCCGCCATATCTTGAGTCTCTGCTGCTCATTCGCCACACCCTGGCGATTCGAGACCATGCCCCGCCCAACTTCCGGTCACTCCCAAGCCACTTCCAGTGGCTTTTCCGTACAAACCACCTGCCTTAGCTCATGCTGCAGACTGTCCTAGAGTCTCTCAAAGGTTTGCGGAACCCAGACAAGCAGCATCTGGCTTGAGCGTGTCCTGTACCCCTAGCTGAGCAGCTCTAACCTCGGCACTAGCTGCACCCGGCCTTCTTTTGCGACTTGGCCTCTCAAGGTGCTTCCAAGGACAGCACGGGCAGCAGCCATCTGCAGATTTCTTTGTGGCTCCTGCCAGCTAGCCCCGGGTGGGGCATGGGCTGTGGCTGAAATTGACCTATAGCAGATCCCATCCAAGGTGGTCCTGGGACTGGCACGCCCAGTGGCCAGCTTCAAAACAAGCTGGGGCATCACCTAGACGCCTCCAAAAATGACACCCAAGGGGCGGATTGGACAGGCACCAGAGTCCTGCTGAGGCAGATCCTGCTCCGTAGGGTCAGCCCCTGCACAACAATTCTTCCACTGTAGTCAAGGTCAGTACTCACAACCAGTGAGCCAAAAGGTCAGTTGACGTACAATTATCAACCAAGGCTCAACTACAAGAGCAGAGCACACACAACCCACAAGGGACACAGCTGGAGTGTGTGGCTCAGGTGACCAGAAAGACTGTGCCAGTAAGCCCTACAGCATACCTACTACATAAGGCCACTCTACTAAGACCAGGAGACATAGCCGCCCTACCTAATACACAGAAACCAACATAGGGAGGCAGACAAAATGTGGAGACAAAGAAACATGTCTCAAATAAAAGAACAGAACAAAGCTCCAGAAAAAGAACTAAACAAAATGGAGACAAGCAACCTATCAGACGCAGAGTTCCAAACACTGGTTATAAGGATGCTCAGTGATCTCAGAGAAAACTTCAACAAAGAGATGGAAACATAAAAATGGAGATAGAAAACATAAAAAAAGAACCAGTCAGAAATAAAGAATACAATAATAGAAATGAAGAATATATTACAGGGAATCAACAGATTAAATGAAGCAGAAGATCAAACCAGCGAAGTAGAACATAAGGTAGCAGAAAACACCCAACCAGAACAGAACAGCCAAAAGAAAAAAGAATCCAAAAAATTGAGGAGAGTTTAAGGGGCCTCTGGGACATCAAGCATACCAACATTCACATTTTAGGGGTACCAGAAGGAGAACAGAGAGAGCAAGGAGTGAAAACCTATCTGAAGAAATAATGACAGAAAACTTCCCTAATCTGGCGATGGAAATAGATATACAAGCCCAGAAAGTACAGAGTCCCAAACAATGAACCCAAAGAGGTCAACACAAAGACACATCATAACTAAAATGCCAAAGGTTAAATCTTAAAAGCAGCAAGAGAAAAGCAGTTACTTACCAACAAGGGAGCCCCCATAAAACTGTCAGCTGATTTCTCAACAGAAACTTTGCAGGCCAGAAGGGATTGGCACAAAGTATTCAATGTGATGAAAAGCAATGACATACAACCAAGATTGCTCTACCCAGCAAGGCTGTCATTTAGAACTGAAGGATGGATAAGGAGCTTCCCAGACAAGAAAAAGCTCAAGGAGTTCATCGCCACCAAACCAGCATTACAAGGACTCTTAGAGGGGCTTCTTTAAGATGGGAGGGGGGGTTAAGGATGGGTGAAAGGAGAAGGAATTAAGAAGTATAAACTTTTTTATATGGTAGTCATGGGGATGCAGGGTATAGCATAAGGAATATAGGCAATAATATTATAATAACTGGGTATGGTGCCAGACAGGTACTAGATCTATCAGGGTGATAGATGGGAATAGGGTTGGGGGCAGGGTGAAAACAGTGAACACATTAAGAAATATAAATTGATAGTTAATACAATATGGGAATATAATCAACAATGTTGTAAAGATCATGTAAGGTGCCAGATGGGCACTGGACTTATCAGGGGGATCCCATCATAGACTGTGTAGATGCCTGACCAATTCACTATACATCTAAAGAGTTGAAGTAGAATAATACTGAATGCCAACTATAACTAAAAATATAGGTGCATGTAGTCATGTGATGTGGATTACAACATAGGGAAGATAGTCAATGGTATTTTAACAGCTATATAAGATGTCAAGGGAGCAGTAGCTTGGGGGGGGTTATCACTTTATGAGGGGTTTAAATGTCTAACTATTACATTGCTTTGTACACCCAAAACTAATAAAAAACAATACAAACTGGTAGTTACAAAACAGTCATGGTGATGTAAAGTATATGGAATATAATCAATAATATGGTAATAACTATGTATAATGCCAAGTGGTACTAGTCAGAGGGATCACTTCCTAAATTATATAAATGTCTAACCACTAAGCTACACACTTGAAACTAATATAAAATAATACTGAATGTCAACTCTAATTGAAAAATTTAAGTGCTTCGCTTCGGCAGCACATACACTAAAATTGGAAAGATACAGAGATTAGCATGGCCCCTGCGCAAGGATGACATGCAAATTCGTGAAGCGTTCCATATTAAGAGAAAAAAAAAAGCAAGAAAAAATTTTAAACTTTAAAAATTTAAAAAGAGAGGAAAATATCAATAATACTGTGATAGCATGGTACAGTGTCAAATGGTTGCTGGACTTATGGTGATCACTTCTTTAGCACAGGGAATAAAATCAATAACGTGGTAATAACACTGTATAGAGAGCTAGGTGGGTACTGTTGAATAACTATGATGTACACCTGAAACTAATATAATACTGTATGTTAATATTTTAATAAAAACATTAAAAAATAAAAATAAACTTTTTTAAAGGAAAAAAAAAAAAGAAAGAAAGAAAATGTGAGTGGAATCAACAAAAGATGAGCCCAAGTAACCTGAAAGGTGAAGGCCAACGTCCCATCCCATGAACCCAGGGCCACCCTGGCTCGCACCCTTGTGTGGAAGGAGGGGTACCCCGGGAGATGGTACTCACCCACACTGCTGAGGGAGCTGCTGCTTTCTGAGTCTGAGGGCATGATGGACAAGACGCTGTAGGTGGAACCTGGGGATGGAAAGGAAAATCATTTGTTGTTACTATCCCCAAAGGGGTCTCTTATCTATACCTCAAACCACGGTCAGACCGATAATCAGTTATTGCCAAGCTGAGAACCCACACTGCATCAGGGACCAGAAATCGAATTCAAGTGGCTGGGCAGGGGAGATGTCGTCAGCAGGGACCAGTCTTTGGTGTTTCTGCCTGACCTTCCACCTCCCCTCCTGCTCTGGACACTGAGCTGTGTATGGGCAGAGGGGAGTCTGGAGTCTGTCGGCTGGCTTCTTGGGGTATCTGGGGAAAGGCTTAACAAGAAAGCAACATGCCCCAGGTTCAAATGGAGTCTGGGGGTTCCCTACAGATTTTTATCAGTATGATTCTGGCTTCCATGCAGAGGGTAGCAGAGCATGAATTAAACATCCATGAACTATTTGTTCTTTTTGCCTGACTATTCTGCTCTTAGGTTCTAATGACATTCAAGCTCAGTCCTTAATAATTTAGTCAGTCTCTGCCCCCTTATTAAAAGTTACTCATAAAACTATCAGCAATTACACTGTCACCAAAGCATCAGGAAAAAACTCTGGGTCAGGACACCCAGTCTCTGAACCCGGCTCTTATCCATGTGTGAGTAGCTGGGTGACACTGAGCAAATTGCTTCAGTGTCCTGAAACTCTGTGTCCTGGTCTGTACTATGAAGGGGTTCAACCAGATGGCTTACAAGGTCCCATTTCAGCAACTCCATTCTCCACTGACTGATGGAAACAGGTGTGCTTTGTTTATCAAGACTACAGGTGACACAAAAAGAAGAGGAAAGGCAAACAGAGACTAAACTGGGAGTAAAAAAAAAAAGCATAACATACAGAGGTGGTGGATCACAGAAACAAGATAATGTGAAAAATGCAATGTTTTGTTCAGGAACCAAAAGGAGTGGGAGCCAAAGATGAGATTTTAGCAATAAAGACTTTGAACAAGGCTTAGGGCCTCCATGTCAGAAAGTGGCCAAGAACTAATGACACCTTGAGTTCCAGGACCAGAAATATGGGGGGCCAAATTTAAGGGGTTCTTCCCCATCTCAACTCTTGACTAGCCACCTTATACATGCACACCCTCAGAAGGGAAAAAAAAAGAGATACAGAGATGGGGGTAAACAGGGAAGAGGGAGAGGAGGGGGGACATTCAGGGCGGGGGAGGGCAGAGACCACCTGAGGACAGGAGAGACCCCAGGGGAAGGGGAAGGCTTGGGGGGAGGACAGGAAGGCCACGCGGAGGGCAGAGAGACAGACAGCCTTGGTGTTAACAGTGTACAAGTGAGCTAGCAGGTGTGCCCAGCTGAAAAAGACATGAAAGGGGAGAGAAAATAAGAAAAAAGGGACTTTGGTAATACCAAAAACTCGGACAGTGGCCAGGGGTGACCAGTGGCCTCATTATCGCATTTTCTGAGAATCTCTGAAGAACCTGTGGGAGTTTAGCATAGACTAAAGAGGATGATTTGGGGAGTGGGCAGGTGTTTCATCTTCAAGTAGGACTGTCAGGAGGGATTCAGTGTGTTCAATGTGGCCTCTAGGAGCAGAACTGGGCCAGCAGGGAGGTGCTGAAGAAAGCCGCAGTCAACACTGCCCAGGCACACCTGGCTGGGATAGCAGAGGGGGATTTATATGCACATCACCTGAAGGGAGATGGAACCAGAAAACCCCATGCAGCCCTGAAATGCCTTGATCCCACTAGAAAATAAGTAGCAACATTCAACGAAAATACCTCCTGTATTTCAAGTTCAACCCACGTTATTCACTTTACTGTTCACTCGACATCGCTAAAATTGTGTCTTAAACAATGAGCATCACAAATTTCTCCAATCATCTCTCTTCCCAGATCACAAACATTAAGCATGGCATAAAGATCCGTGAAATAAAGTCAGATGCAATTCAGGAAATCCACTGATGTCTTCAAAGAACAAGAATGCAACACAATGCCAGTTTTTTAAAACTCAATCGTCATTTTCTTAATTATTAGTTTTTTCCTTATAGGGGCAAAGTAGGCTAGTCAGCTGATATGTTTGTGGACTGTTTTCAAAAGATGCCTACTCAGAAAAGCAGGCACAAATAAACTGTCCCACTCACACCTAATCCTGCTTGCGACACTGAGGACGCGGCTGGTGCTCCAGTAGATGCTCCCTGTAGGAACACATGGCTTCTTTCTCATTATTGCCATCGCCAGTGCCCCATCTTTCAGTAAGCCACCCCTCCTCTCCCGATAGTTTCTCTACTCCCCCATGGTAAGGTTCCACTGTTTGTTAAACTTGGCAGACACCCTTCTCCCATCTCCCGCCCTGGCTGGGGGAGTCAACTGGCCAACCAACACATTCTGTTCCTCTTCCCTGTCCCCAAAGTCCTGCTCTGGGGCCTGACCCAGGAGTGGTGTGACATCTCTGTCTGCATCTCTGGGCATCATCACCCCCCAAGTCAGCTGGCAGAGCTCCTGGGAGCTAGAGGTGGGGGCCGGCAGGGAGCAATTAAAATTGGACAAGGTCCAGTTTTTACAATGTTCCCAAGGCCTTAGACGTCATTCAGGGGGGAAGAAGCCCGAAAATGACGCTGTCTTGGTCACGCTTTGTCTCTGAGGCTATTGTTGTCTTAAAAAGCCTGTGTGGTCAGGGCTGTCGGGAAAAGGCAAAGGAGTCACTCTCCTCCAAAGTCACACGGTGTCCTTTCAAAGCTGATGCTTCTGAGGAGTGGGTGCTGGGCGTCAACTACCTCTGAGGTTTCACAATGAATCTAGAGGCCAGCAGGAGTCCTGTCTCAGGGACGCACACTTCCCCACCCCTCACAGCCACACTGCAGACAATGACCCCTGGGGCGCGCTGAAGGCACCTGCACCCCATCTGCCCCGAAACCTGAGGCACACACTCCACTTCATGGAGACCGAGCTCCCCCAGCAAACTACCCCCACTCTCTCCCCACACCCCCCACACCCACAAGGCAGCAGGCACCGCCACTCAGGACGCTCCCCCGCAATCTCATGCAAGCCCCCGACAGAGGTCCCGAGAAGACCCAGGGAAAGTTGGAGGATCTGGAAACATTTCCAGCAAAGGAGAGCAGAGCATGAGCCCCAGGTTTTCATGGCCATGTGGGCCAGAGAGGAGTTCTTTACTGGCATGGGAATTACCTGGGGGCCTGGGCAAAGTGCAGTTCTGGTTGGGCAGACTGGGTGGGGCCCGAGACTCTGCATTTCTAACAAGCACCCAGGGAACATGGTCCACAGACAGAATGAATGGGGGGCACCAAGACTGACCAGAGTCAGCAGGTGGGATGCAAACGGAAGCCATGACAGAAGGCCTGGGAGAGAGCTGGCAAGCTCTCTGGGTCGGCCTGGGCCACGCACTGTGTCCTTCCCAAGAACCCAGCAGGCCTCTGCTAATTGTGTTTACTCTGTGACTCAGCCCCACTGGGTCACAGAGACGAGTTCAAAAGAACTTCCAGTAAAATCACTCTAGCGATAACACAGCTTGTGGGCCCAAGAGAGACAGAAGAGTGCCCCCTACCACAGCCCTCCGTTCACCTGGAGCTGGTCAAGGTCCCAGTGACTCTCTCGCTTCCTGAGAAACCTGCACCGCTGAGGGATGTATCTAGCCCTGAGCCAGCACACAGTCCTCCCTGAGCTCCAGGGGGGTGAAGGAGGCTGGCCTGCCAACTCACACTGAGAGAGCTCTGGCCTGGGAGGACATGTGACAGCCCCTACCCCCAACCCCCACCCAAACAAGCACATGAGAAGTGAGAGGCAGAAGGCAAGCTACCATCCCCTCAGGGCTCGGTGACAGAGTGGGGAGGTGCTGCCTGGTCCCGGGGTGAGGGTCACCACCAGGCCACCTGCCACATCCTGGGACCCTCTCCTGGCTCACACCTGAGGAACCACAGCCATCACACAAAGGACGGAGAGTGCACATGTCCACCAGGTTCCTGACGTGCACCTGAGCCCTACAAGACACTAGGCCAGGTCTGACAGAAAGAAGGCAAGCCAGGACTGAGGCGGGTGCTCCTCGGCTGGGAGGCTGGGAGGTCCCTTCCCTCTCTGAGCCCTGCGCCCTCATCTGTAAATCAAGGCAGTAATGACGAGAATGCCGACGGGGCGCCAGTCAGCCTGGGTTCAACTCCCAACCCTGCTACTTAGCTATGCGCCCTCAGGTCAGTCACTCGGCCTCTCCCTGCCTCCAACACGCGCTTATCTGTAAAATGGGTTAATAGGTGTACTTACCTCAGAGAGGATCAACTGAAGTAATGTGAAAATGTCTGGAAACAGCACCTGCACAGCCAGCTCTCCATGTGTCAGCTGCTGCTATTATGCTCAAACCAGACCTTCCAACCTGTCCTTCTCAATCCTCTGATTACCTAAATTGAAAGCTGTACTAGAGTGACAAGGTCACGCAGTCCACCATGACAAAGTGCTGGACTCTGTGACCCTCACTAACAATAACGCAGCTGACAGGGACAGCACCAGTAAGTGTGCATTGTCCCGACTAATCCCCACGTCAGCCCTAAGATTATCATTGGCCCCACCTTACAGAGGAGGAAACTAAGGGTTGGAAAAATTAAGTAACTTGCTTAAGATCATGGTAGAGCTACTGAGGGGTCAAACAGGATACAAATGCAGGCAGTCTGGCGCAAAGCCTGCACTCCTGATACCTCTACATAATGCTGCTGCCCAGCTCTGAAGGTGAAGAGCAGTCAGAGCAGACTTCCTGGGGGAAGAGGCCTGGAGCTGGCCCTGGAGTATGGCAGACTTGGACAAGCACCTGAGAGGCCAGATCAGCCTGGAAGACACACAGGCAGAACCTGTCAACCAAGTGAGACGTCTCAGAGCAGGACCAGCGCCGACCAGGACCTCCCAGCCTGGATCACCCCCCAGGGTGGGCTTGTACCCTCCCTCCCCGCCTCCCACCTCCAAGAGGACACACCACACTGTGAGCTGAGCTGAGTACGGGAACTAAAAGTGGGAGAAAGAGCAGGGGAGGAGCG